AAAAAAAAAAAAGAAACTATCAGCAGAGTAAACAGACAACCTACAGAATGAGACACAATTTTTACAAACTATGCATCTATACATATGTTAGATACTAAGTGCCAGAAAGAAAGAAAGAAACAATGGGTACACATAGTATGCGTTTAGAATGGGCTGTGTATGAATTTTCATATAGCGTAGTCAGGAAGTCCTCTGTGAGAATGTCACTCTTGAAGGGAAGCAAGGGAGCTAGCTATACAGCTATCTGGTGGAAGAATATTCCAAACAGAAAGAATCATAAATGCAAAGACCCTAACGGGGTTCTAGAGCCCATAAAAAGGAGGCCAGTACGGCCAGAACTGAATGAAAAACAGGAAGACAAGCAGAATTTGATGTCAGAGAGGTACTTGAGGTAGACATGGGGGGTAGGGACTTGGAGACATGAGAGGTTCACCTAGATCAGACTATATCTCCCAACTTTTCCTTACTACAACTTCATATTGTATGCTAATAACTTTTACCTCCCTACAGTATAAATGCTGATTAAAACATACACAAATATTATCTTTTATAGATATTAGAATAGACTAATATAAAAAATATTTTTTTAAAAGATGAAATCTTGCTTAAAAAATATTTTTAAAGATGTTATCTTTATATGCTTTCACTACATAGTAAAACCCCATCTCTACAAAAAATACAAAAATTAGCTGGAAGCAATGGCATGTGCCTGTGGTCCCAGCTACTGAAGAGGCTGAGGCAGTGGATGGCTTGAGCCCTGGAGGTAGAGGTTACAGAGAGCTGAGATCGTGCTACTGCACTCCAGCCTGAGTGACAGAGCCAGACCTTCTTTTAAAAATAAAATAAAATTAAAAAATTTTAAAAGTTATCACTAAAATATGTCTGAAGTATTTGATGTGGTCTTGGTTTTTACTTTGCAATTATAACAACATGGAAGCATAAACAAGTTTTAATATCATTACTAAGACCTTCATTTTGTATCTCAAAGATACAGAATATATTGACCAGACATCCATGCTAGACATTTTCTATCCTCTGGTGGATCACAATTAAAAACATACAAACCAAAAGAAAAACAGCCCTTTAACCCTCTAGCTGCACTTGCAGCTTGTCCCTGGCTGACCAGTTCTGTATCTCCAGGGGCCTAGCAGGAAGTTAAGCCGAAGCCTTACAGCTGTCTCTAAGGCTCTGGTTGGCAAATGGCTAATCTTAAAAGTAAAGGCTCTGAAACTTTTTTATATCTACCAAAATTGCCTGGAGGAACTGTGAAAGATTACTGGACCCCACTGATATAGTAGGTATGGACTGAGCCTGAGAATGCAGTTCTAATAATCGCCCAGGTAATGTTGACACTGCTGGTATGGGGGAGCCATAATTTGAAAACCAGTGCCTTAGAAGTATTATTGCTAGCTGGAGGCTATAGTGGTCAGCAGGGGTGATGCTGATTGAAGTACTGGCTTCTCTCCTGGTAGTCCCCTCCTTTCCATAAATATCTTTTCCAACCCCATGATAGACAGTGGAGAAAGGTAGGGATGCTTTTTCTTTCTTAGAATCTTTCAAGGTTCTCTTGGAGAAAACCATTGGTGATGTGACTGGAGATACAACCACTCTCTGGGAATCAGAGAATCAATGTTACAACCAACTTCCCAGGGTGGCTATCTGAAACTCTCTAGGCCGTAGCTGTTGACCTGGGCTTTGTGACAGAAACAGACTCCCTATATCCATTTTCTCATCCTTCCCTGCAGGCTTGGAGAAATACCAGTCTTCTTTCATTCTTCAGTGAGGTTTTCCATCTGTGATCCCTCTCCTGAGGGATGTTGTACTGAAGTTATCCTTATTTTCCACTGCCTTTTTCCTGCCAAATGTTATCTACCCCATCTTTAAAATCAAAACTAAAAAACTAATTTTCTAAGAGACAGGGTCTCACTTGTCAGCCAGGCTAAAGTAGAGTGGAGCGATCATAGCTCACTGTAACTCTGAACTGGGCTCAAGCCATCCTCTTGTCTCATCTTCTGGAGTAGTTGGGGCTACCGGCAGATGACACTATGTCTGGCTAATTTAAAAAAATTGTTTTAGAGATGGGGTCTTATTATGTAAAAAACTTTGTACCACCAAGTTGATATACACCACGTTGTTATGTAAAAAACTTTTTGTAAAACAAACTTCAAATTATAAAAGTAACACTTGCTCATTACAGAAAATTTGGAAATTAAAAAAAGATGTGAAGAAAAATAAGAGCACTCAATCACACCACTTAGGGATAACAGCTTGGTACATTAATGTTTCTTTTCAGAACTTTTCCTATACTTATATACAATATATACATTTTTCATAATCAGGTAATACTGTATCTTGCTATGTCATACTTTCCAATATATTAATACTTTTTTTTTTTTTTGAGACGGAGTTTCGCTTTCCTTACCCAGACTGGAGTGCAATGGCGCGATCTCGGCTCACCGCAACCTCCGCCTCCTGGGTTCAGGCAATTCTCCTGCCTCAGCCTTCTGAGTAGCTGGGATTACAGGCACGCGCCACCATGCCCAGCTAATTTTTTGTATTTTTAGTAGAGACGGGGTTTCACCATGTTGACCAGGATGGTCTCGATCTCTTGACCTCGTGATCCACCCGCCTCGGCCTCCCAAAGTGCTGGGATTACAGGCGTGAGCCACCGAGCCCGGCCCATTAATACTTGTAATAGCTGTAAAACAACCAACAAACAGCTATAACTAGAATTTAATAATTCCCTAAACTTGATTTGTTTTCCATTTTTCACTATTATAAGTGATGTTTCAATTAACAGTTCTCTACATGCATCTTTGATGGTATTTCTGATTATTTTCTTAGAACAAAATCCTAGAAGTGAAGGGTAAAAGGGTATGAACCCCTTTAAGGTTCCATCTACATCTATGTATCTACTTATCTATCCATCCATCCATACTATTTTCCAGAAAGGCTGAATCAATTTATACTTCTACCAGTAGTTGATGAGAATTCTGTCTCATTACGCTACAGTAACACTGAAGGTCCACTATCTTGGACAAAGCACTCACTTGTTCTCAACAGGTCCTATTAATATTTCCTCTTTTTCATAGATCAATGATTGAATAAATAGCATGTATCTACTACTCCACTTCATCACCCACACTTTATTTGCCACAATGTTTCCTTCTCCAATCATCTTACTAAAATTACCAACATTAGTGACCTCTTTCTAGTCATATGAATACTTTCATTTAGATTCACATCATTAGCCCTTCTGAGTCTACTTTTCCCATTTTTGTGGTCATTTGACTCTACTGAACTCATTCTTCAAGGACTCCATCCCTCCTTTACACTGTACCACCATATTCTCTCACTTCATCTCCAACCTCTATGACCTATCTTCTTTAATGTCTTCTTTCTCAGTTCCTATTATTTACACCATATCATGCCTCCAAGGTTTAGTCCTTGCTTCTATTCTGTGGAAGGACTCCTCCATTCTGTTTTAATAATCAACTCCACACGAACTGCTCCCATATCTTTATCTCCACAACTTTACTCTTCCTTTGCCCTCAGGTCTTCAACCTCTCACCACCTATAACTCAGTGCCACCTAAACCTACTCAATAATGCACCATCTTCTCTGCCAAACTAAAATAAAAATCTTTGATGGCATTTCTGATTATTTTTCCAACTTTCTTATTTCTGATAATGGGGCAACACTTCTGTACTCCTCAACATTAAAAAATCCTTGTCTTAAGTCCTTCCATACTCAGTGTCTCCAAACTCATCCCTTCTTCAAGACACTTCCTAAATATATTCCTTTATTTCTGTCATTGCCTCACACATCAGTTACTGTAACATCTTCAAAGGTAGCAGTAATTCAACTTATATGCAGTTGCTGTGTTAATTTTCCAGAAATCGTTCTTTGATTACTTCTCCCACTAAAAGATTTTTTTTGGTCCAAATTCAATGGGTTCAAACTTCTCAAAAGACCACATTTTATCTCCTATTACCTCCTGATAAAAATCCAAGGTAAACTTTATTCTTTCATACACTTTTCAGACTCATTACCACCTCACATGTGCTCATGTCACTCTCAGACTCCTTCGTTTCAATGGAGTCTTCAGGAATCTCAGATTTCTTGAAGCCAACGGTATACTGGAGGGGGCCAGTGGAGACAAGCCCTGATTTGTAGTGTTTGCCAATAACCCTTACCATAGCAGATCTTAAGCTACTAATGTAACACCACCGATTATGAAATTGGGAAGAGATGTGCATGAAACCCATAGGATCTGGCTCCAGACACCCCAGCAGCACTTATAATCTGGTCTGTAATCTAAAGCTTTATATATATATACTGTTTTGTATAGGTTCTTCTCGTGTGTTATATATGTTTGTTCATTGCAATAAATCAGCCCTAGGAAGTGGGGCAGTCCATTCATTTTAGAGCTTTCACAGTGTATAGGGCATCCATTGTGTACTCAATAAATTCTTGGTAAGACCTGGAGAGGAGCGATAAGCAAAGCCAAAGGTGAGGGGTAGTTAAAAAGGGTATGTTCTCATCTAGGGCTGTTTAGCAAGAACAAACAAAAAGAACAATAAGGGAGCAGAATGTGGTAGAAATAAAATCAGAATGGGAGCCAGGGGATATTGGCTATGTCCCAGGTTTGCACCTATGTGATCCTTCGCAAGCCAGTTCCCTTCCTGGCCCTTAAGTTTCCTCATCTGTAAAAATTAGAGGACTAGATTACCTGACTTCTAAGATACCCCTCCACTCTAATGCTCTGAGATGTGGGTTAAACTAAAAGGCAGGCATGCCATAGTCCATTGAACCGGTAATAATAATGACAGTAATAAATTCATTTTCAGATCAGACCAGTCAACAGAGTTTAGGGCAGCAAAACTTTCTTTCAAGAAGAAACATTCTTGTAAGGTCATTCCATTCCTTTTAACTAATAATTATTCAGTGGAAAGATACAATATCCTAAAAGTTGTATCTATTTTATTATTTCAGGAGAAAAGAGGTGTGAAAACTCACCTTATATTTGCAGCATATTCCAAGATATTTCCTAGAGTCTTTCATCCAAAAAATGTGTATTGCCTTTCTACTATGAGCTGAACACCAATAAGTGGTAAGGACTGAGTAAAAACAAAACAGATCCAGTGTTTACCCTCATGAAACCCATCACAGTGTGGGTCAATAGCCATTTATTTCCTAATCATCTGTATCAGTGCTTTTTAACTTAAAGAGCATGAACTGCTCTGAGTTGCAGATACAAGCTATGGACCCTCTCTCTCAAAAATTGTATACAATCATAAAAACTTGAGAAGTTCAAAGGACCTTTCATATGTGGAGGTGTCCAGTACCAAAAGTTAACAACCCTGATCTGTATCTACAACTACATCTACAAAACAACAAACATATTCAAGCTCATAAAAGCCTATATTATGATTGCTATATGGTTTGTTGAGGGAGTATAACAAAGATTTCCAACAGCAACAAAATTAAAGGTCCATCATTTATAAGGTTAAGTTTTGATTATCTGAAATTTCACTCACCTACAGAATCTTATTCCAAATATTCTAGATAAGTAAGGTATGCCTAGATTATGCTTCTTCTTCTTCTTTTTTTTTGAGAGACAGGGTCTCACTCTGTTGCCCAGACTGGAGTGTGGTAGCACGATCGTATTATACAGACTGGAGTGTGGTAGCATGATCATATTATACAGCTCATTGCAGCCTCATACTTCTGGGCTCAAGTGATTCTCTTGCCTGAGCAGCTGGGACTATGGGTGTGAGCCACGATGCCCAGCTAATTAAAAAAAATTTTTTTTTGTAGAGACAAGGTCTTGCTAAGTTAGCCAGGCTGGTCTCAAACTCCTGGTCTCAAGCAATCGTCCTGTATCAGCTTCCCGAAGTGCTGGGATGGCAGGCGTGAGCCACTGCACTGGGCCAACATTTCTATTTGATCTGTCATTCCTTTGGCTAAGGCTGCTTATTAAATTAGTCTTCTTTCTTGAAAAGCCATTTGTACATGAAGGTTTATTTGCATTTCAGAACTAAATTTGCATTTCATGACTCTTCCATTTCACATTAATGAGTCCCAATTAATCATGACAAATTCACACACACATATCCTGAATGAACAGCTTGAACAACAGCAAAAAGCACAAAAATTCCAGAATTAGAGAGTACCGACTCCTCTCCTGGCTCTAACATTTTTTGGCAAAGTGATCCTGGACAAATCATCTCTGACCTATGTTTCTTCATTTATAAAGTGCGGGGGTAATAAGACTTACCTGAGAGGGGTGCTATGAGAAATCCATCAAACAAAATAATGTATATGAAAGTGTTTAGCTATGAAGTGGGTGAAAGGCAGTAGGTTGTTGCGAAGTTGCTCACAAAACATAAAACATTCGTGGAAGATCATATGGAGAGAGCTGCTCGTATAACATCCTTAGTGTGCTATTAAAAAATTTACATCTGAAGTAAAATAAATTGTTCTTAAATCACTCAAGGAATTCTGCTTTGGTTAAGTGGTCAATAATGAAGTTTTTACACATCATAAGTTTGCAAGAGAGGCTTTGGAATTTTCAAGATGCGTAAACATATTCTCAAAGCAAGAAGATGAACTACTTACAATACATTAATTTTAGTTTCAAGATGTCAAAATCCTTTTCATGCAGTCTATTTTAACTTTTTTTACAGAGCAACGATCCTTTCACTTCCCTTGTTGAGAAGCTTTATAATGGTTAATAGGATGTACACAAGATATTTTAGGTGAATTAGTTCAACAAAACTGACAAAATGAGTGAAATCAATCATAGTACTGAGGGTTTTAGTGGAGGAAGTGTTTGCTTCTAAAGGAAGTAAATATTATAATACTCTCTAGTTTGAGAAATGTTTTCCGATCCATTCTCCACTGGAACAGCAGTGGAGATAAGCTGTGTAAAGGATAACCTTGGGATGGGGGGATTACGTATCAAACTTGTGAAACTATGTAATATTCACTTTATTTTTTTTTTTGCATTGCTTCATTTATATTTACAATGTACATTTATATTATTTCAATAGCCAAATTTGGGACTATTTTTCCTTTAAAAATTGAATTAACTTTTTAATAATGTGGTGCCGTTGAACAAAAGATCCCTGGTACCTAGAAAAGAGTCAAAATGCAAGCCCTCTGATTTCTCAACCTCTACTATGCCAAGGCTCTGCTGGCTGCCCCAAGAAAAAGAATTAAGCTTTCATTACCTAAGTCCAAAATAGTCATCATACAAATGTCTACCACCAAAACAAACTGCAGATCCTGCGATACACATTTCTCCAAGAAATTCAAATCGATTAATTGTATAAGTGTTTAAAAGTAAGGTATCCTCACATTTTAAGAAAACAATTACTATTATTCTCTAAGACCTAAATCCTTGGCCTAATCAGACATTTAATGAGTGGGAAACTTCAGACTGGAGGTTTTCTGAGAGCAGGGATAAACTCCAGAGAGGAAGGGGCAGGGAGAAGAGGGAAGACTCAATTAGAGCAATGGATGGGGGAGGTTAGGGTAGAAAGCTGAATGAATGGGTAATGAGGTCGTCTAGGGTTGGCACATGCTTTACAGACTGACCTCAGGGGGGGCACGTGGGCCGTTAAGTTGGTGGGAACTGGGTGGATGGAGAGCCCGGGATGAGGGTAACTCAAGGGCAGTCTCCAGTGTCTACCAGCAGCTGCTCACCTAGTTCTCTCCCAGTACTGCCACTAAGTAGGCAGGATTCTGAGCAACCGAGAAAGTGCGTCATGGAAAGCAGCCACTCCGGGGCCTGGGAAGGCTATCTGACCGCAGCGGCCGGGTCAGCTCCCCTCCCTCCCAAGGCCCGACCAGCACCTCACCCGCTACCAGGCGTAGACCGCGGAGGCTCCCCATGGCCGCCTACTCCGCCGACGAGTGCAGAACTTCGCCAGGAGCGGTGGCGCTGATGAGCTCAATGTCACCTAGCGCTGGAGTGGGAAGGACGCAGGCGGTGCTAGGGGACGACGCGCAGGAGACGCGGTGGGCGGGCCTGCGCCAGTGAGGGGCTTGCGGGGCGTGCGGGACGTGCGAGAAGCGCCGGAAACTGGCGGCGCCAACCTAGTGCCCCTGGCGCCGCGTTCTGAGTCAGCCTCGTGAATGGTTCTGCGGAGGGTGGTGCCGTGGCCCCTTGCCTTAGCGGATATGCATCCACGGAAATAGCTGTGTGAAATAGAAGGGAAACGTGCAACTTTCCTGAGCTGTAAACTCCCAGAATACACCAGATAAACCAGTATTCCAGTATGCCGTTCTTCCAGTGTTTTCAACGAACATATGCTTTTATCAATAAACACATAATTGGATTCAGTGCTCAGTGGCCTTATCTCGTTGGTTTTTGAGCATCCCTCAGGCTAATCTAAGAAATTAACGTGTATATTTTCCATTTGTTTTCTATTTACCTATTTTCTAAAAACATTTGATCATCTCCATCCTAAACACCTTATCCAATTCATACTCACCCACACTGCCAGAAATGCTGTTTTTTCTTGACGTTTCTTAGTGGTCTCAAATTCTTTACAAAGACACCTCTGAAAAGGATTAGAAAAGCCTTACTTCCCTAGATTTTTTTCAACGACCCCTTCGTAGGGGAACGACCAGGAAGTTGTTTTCCTTTTGTAAAAAGTAGAAGTGGAGTAAACAGTCCCTTCAAGTTCTGACAATCTTTGATCCATGCATCTGGCCCACTTCCAAGAGGACATGTTAAATGGGTTAGGACAGCAGGGTGACAAGTTTAGAGGTGAATGCGGACCACGTTGAAGTCAAGCCTTGCACTCAGCTTTGCTAAGGATTCCCCGGGTACTATATTTTTTTTGTCAGGCGGCTCCGCGGTCACCTTTGCTCCGCGGTGATTGGCTTGCAGCGGGGTCCTCGTGTTTGTCCAATATGGCGGCGCCCAGTGGCGGTGTGAACTGTGAGGAGTTCGCCGAGTTCCAGGTGATGGGTTTTTCCTCATGTGGCAGGCATATCCCTCCTTTTGTCCCCAGATCCTATTCCCTGCTCTGCGAGGGAGTATGAACCAGTTTTGGAAAAAGCGGGCAATTCAAACCTGTTTTCTCGAGCTATTGGAGGTCATGGGGGGCGCGGGTTTGGCCTTAGGGAGCGAGGCTGCTCAGTAGGAGGAGGGAAGAGAGGGTCATAGTTCTCCCCGCGGCTCGCAGGCCTTGACTACGAAACTCTGAGTAATCCGTGGTGGTAAAGCTCGGGATCCATGGATAAGGATAGTAACAATCTTGTAGCAAATCCCTGAACTAAGTTTTCAGCTTCTGCCATTTCTCTCTTACTTTTCTAAGTTGAGTTTTTATGGGAGAAAAAAAAGGCGAAGGAGAGCTAGTTGATAAAACAAACATTTGGTACGATTTACGATTTTTGTGGGACAGAACGTTTGGAAGCTTGGAGGGAGGATTCTAGTACCTGCTCTGGTGCCACTGCCCATTAGAGAAAATGTAATATTTAAAATAAAGGTTCTGCTTTTCTATGTCCAAATACCAGAGATCTAGGGCTAATTATTAACCCGTGAATTCAAGAATAGGGATCTGGGTTTTGACCAAGTTGCTATTAAAGTTATCTGTTGTAATTCAGTCATAAATGTGCTTCTGTTTGGTTACAAAGTTGAATTCAAAAATCAAAAATCGTGATCTTAAATATGTATTGCATTATTAACTAACCAAAGATAATGAAAAATTGTGTCATTAACCTGTCTGTATTAAGATTTGTACTCTGAACGGTATGAAGGTAGTGGTATTCTTGAATACTGCCTCAGCCTCCCTGTAGGGAGGACTAACAGCACCTATCACCATGCCCAAGTAATTTTTTAAAAGAAATTTTGTAGAGACAGGGTCTCACCAAATAATCCTCCTGCCTTATCCTCCCAAAGTGTTGGGATTACAGGCGTGAACCACCTCACCCAGCCTAAAGTGTTTAAAATTTTTGCAATTTTTATTTTATCATTATAAAAATTAGATTTAGTACTTCTGGAAAATATCCTATTTCCAAATTGAAATAAAATCCAGAAAGAGTATTTAAAATTGAGTGTCTAGAATCCAATTTTAGCGTGCATTCAACAAGAATTTATTGAATACTGTATTAGTCTGCTTGGGCTGCCATAACAAAATACCACAGACTGGGTGGCTTAAACAATAGAGATGTATTTTTTCACAGTTATGGAGACTTGAAGTCCAAGATAAAGCTGCCATCAGTTTCTAGGCTATGCAGTTTGAATTAAGGGGGAAAAAAAGTGCCATCAGAATTAGTTATGTTAAGGCTTCTCTTCCTGGCTTGTAAATGGCTGTTTTCTCACCATGTCTTCTCTGTCACTATCTCTTCTTTGTGCCTATGCATAGAGGGAGAGGGATCTCTGGTATCTCTTCCCCTCTTCTTCTTCTTTTTTTTTTTTGAGTCAGAGTCTTGCTCTATCCCCTCTATCACGGCGTGCAATGGCGTGATCTTGGCTCACTGCGAATGAGGTCAAGCGATTCGCCTACCTCAACCTCCCAAGTAGCTGGGATTACAGGTGCACGCCACCATGCCTGGTTAATTTTTGTACTTTTAGTAGAGTGGGGGTTTCACCATGTTGACCAGGTTGGTTTCAAACTCCAGACCTCCAGTGATCCGTCTGTCTCAGCCTTCCAAAATGCTGGGATTACAGGCATGAACCGTGGCGTGGGCCTGTCTCTTCCTGTTCTTATTGGAACACCAGTTCTATTGGATTAGGGTCCACCCTTATGACCTCCATTTAACCTTAATTACGTACTTCAAAGCCCTATCTCCAGATGTAGTCATATTGGGGATTAGGGATTCATGAATTTTGGGGACACACAATTCAACCCATAACAGATACCTACTAGCCACCTGGCACTTGGGGAAACCCAGTGGATAGAGTATAAAACAAGGAATGTAATTAAGTAGGATTATAAAATGTAGAAAATATTTTAAAAAATGAATAAAATGCTAAGTTTAGAGAGAAACAAATCAAGAGATATAGTTGAGTCGGGCCTTTGGTAGGCAGGTACGAGGGGTATTCTAGGCAGAGGCAATAGGATAATAGACAAAAAGTTTTATGTATTTAAGGGAAATAGAAAATCAGTATTGCTAGAATATGTTATTTACATAGGGGCACATTGGGATTACACAAGATTGCAACCAGACTTGTGGAAGACCTTGTGTGTCGTGTGAGTTAGGGAGTCCTTTTTGGGCCAAGGGGTGAGATGATCAAAGAGGTGCTTTAGGAAGATTCATTACTACTGCCAGTGTCTTTGTTCAGGCTCCTATCATTTTTGGAACTAGCTTTGCAGCAGGTCTTCCTGTCTTCCAGCACTTTTTTCTCTACTATATTCCCCTTCAATCTAATCTCCATAATACTGTGGCATATGCTATTATATAGCATATGAATTTTATAATCTAAGCTATGCTTTTAAGTTTTAGGTTCATATGACTAGATCTAAACTTCTAAACGTGGCATATAAGACCTTCTAATTCAATCCCAAATTGCCTCTTGTCATATCTCTTACCATTGTCCTCATACATGTCTCTTTCTTCCTACTCACTCCCCAGAACTTCAGCATGCATTTTTAAGTATTAGTATTTCTGTTAGGAATGTTCATTGATACACAGTTGATTTTGAATCACATTGTAATTAGGTATAGACTAAATAGGTCATCTTCTAGCATCAATGATGGTTCCTTTTATACTTATGGGCTGCCTTCTATTCCTGTCCTTGGGGATGCTGGGTGTTAGAGGACTCTGGCAGTTGTACACAAGTTTGTGTTTTTGGCTTGGGGGAAGCACAATGGGAGCTTTGTTGTAAAAATAGAGTATGAGGAACCAGGTCTGTCTGAAAAGAGCATCATGCAAAAGGGACCTTGACATCAAGTACCAGTGATGGTACTTCTGGGTACCATCAGGCAGAGGGAGAGGAGAGCAAAGGTTAAGAGAGTTCCATATCATTCTTTGGAGTACATTGTACTTTAGTTATATAGTAGCCCTTTTCCTACTTCTCACCCCATGTACCCTAAAAAATGTTTAGAATAATAAAACCGCTTTACCTGAGAACGAATCTTAGAATAGACTGTAGTATAATTGTAGGAATAATAGAAAGTTTTCTCTATTCCTTTCCACTACTAAATATAGGCACTCCTTCAATACCTATATTGCCTTCCAAGAGGATGAGATTTTTTTACTCCATAAATTAAAGAGAAGACTTAAAATACATTCCAAGAAAAAATGCCTGAATAATTTCAGAGTCAGCCTACAATGAGAGATTCATGATATATCAAGTCTCTTCTTGTTTTGAGGAAGATGAAAGCTAAAAGAAGCTGGGGGTACTACAGAATTTATAAAGTTATCTTTGGCTATGATTTCATGTTTAGAAGCTCATGAGGGTCCTACACAAGATATAGCCTTCAGGGAACCATTGAACTGTCTGTATTTCTGTGTTATTTCTGTGGACATGTGTTGTGGTTTATTGTGTATGATGTCTATTCTGTTGAGGTGTGTCTTCTGTATATTTTCTTGGTGAATTTGTGTGGACAGGAGTGTATGCCGTTGAGGCTAGGCATCAGGTAGGTAGCAGTAATTCCTTATGAATGATCCACATAATTCAATGGCAGCATTTTTGTGCCTGCATTCACCTTCATTTGTTCTCAATCTGTGAGGGCAGCCAGACCTTTTGCCTAGAACCTCTTGGAGTTGCCTTAAGAGCTTTGGCACTTTTTCCCCTGTGAAGAAATGTGAGCCTAGTGAGATGGTTTACAGTTCTTTTCCTTCTCCCTTTTCAATTTTGAAAGAAATCCCTTCTTGTCTCATTATACCACAAAAACACTGAGGGTCCACTATGTCTGGCATAACATTCGCTGTTCTCAACAGGTCCTGTAAATAAAAATCTAATCTCCTTTTCATAGCTCAAATGATTGAGTAAATGGTGTGCATCTACTACTTCATCACCCGTAATTTTTTTTGCTACGATGTTTCTTTCCCCAATCATTTC